TTAAAGGGGAAAAAGGCCGGGTTTTGTTGTTCCATAAGCCAGGGTGTGGTTTGTGGTTTTTTTCATAAGCAGGTGTTTGGGTTTGTTGTTCAAATAGCAGGCTGTGGTTTTTTTGGTGTTTCCATCAAGCAAAGGGCCGTGGGGTTGTTGTTTCCCAATAAGCAGGCGTGGGGTTGTGTTTTCATAGCAGGCGGTGGGTTGTGGTCGTAAGGAGGCGGGTGGTTGTGGTTCGTAGGTTATAGGAGGCAAGGTTATAGTCGTAAAAGGCAAGGAAATGTTCGTAAAAGGCAAGGTAGTGTTCGTAGGACGCATGGTTGTGTTCGTAGAATGCATGGTTGTGTTCGTAGAATGCATGGTTGTGTTCGTAGGAAGCACGGTTGTGTTCATAGGACGCACGGTTGTGGTCGTAGGAGGCAAGGTTGTGTTCGTAGAAGCTGGCGAGAGAGAGAGAAAAAAAATAAATAAATTTTCAGACATTTTTACACTATGGCCAACAAAGAATTTTAGATATATCCAATTTGCCATATAAAGCCTTTCAGTACTACCAATTATTATTTCATTAGGGAAAGAGAATAAACGAAAAGAGAGAAAGCATATGATGATTAGATTCCAACCTGGGAGGCAACATTTGCACTTTTTCCCCTTGCAATATTGTTTCATCAGTATGCCATTTGGACAATCCTTCTTCTTTCGGACACATGTACCCTTTCCATCCGTGCAAGCTTGAAGTATTTTGCAAGGTTTGACCCAGCATGAGCATCCAGGAATCTTGCAACCATTCTCAATCTTTTCTGTTTTCTTTTTAGTTGGTCCCTTTCTACATTTTCCCTTTATCTTCGAGCATTTTCCCTTCTCAAATCCTTTGCAGCCTGTGGGAAAGAAAAACAAGGTAAATGATTAATACCATAACTTCAGGTTACTTTCAGTTCGTAGTACATAGAGTTCCGGATTATTCTTGCAATTATTTTTGCAATGATTCTTCTCAGCCTGTTTGCATTTCGTCCCTATATGTGTGGCTGCCTTCACCTCTGTGGAGTTATCCTTTGTATTCTAAATTTAAGGGGGAAGGGTGTGGTTTACGGTTTTAAGCTAGTTGATATTTGATCTCACAGACTTCATATTAACTGCTTCTACGGATTTAGAAGTTTAACACGAAAGGGATATATGTTTCTTCGTGTTGCTTTTGTTCTTTGCAAAGACTATTGATAGAATAGAAACAATGATAAGGACACGAATTCCACGGCAGACTGACTTGTAAACAATGATGATGTTAATGGGCTATTCACAAAAGTTTACACTCATTGTTATATACTCACTCACTCACTCACTCTCTCTCTCTCTCTCTCTCTCTCTCTCTCTCTCTCTCTCTCTCTCTCTCTCTCTCTCTCTCTCTCTCTCTCTCTCTCTCTCTCTCTCTCTCTCTCTCTCTCTCTCTCTCACCTTCTCTTCTCTCTCGCTCTCTCCGCTTCTTCATCTCCTTTTCTATTTCTCTGCCGTTCTCCCGTTTTTGTCTCTCTGTATCTGGTTGTCTCCGCATATACATTTCCATACTTATGAGTGTGTATTTGTATCTAGCTATATATATATATATATATATATATATTATATATATATATATATATATGTGTGTGTGTGGTGTGTGTGTGTGTGTGTGTGTGTGTGTGTGTGTGTGTGTGTGTGTGTATGTGTGTGTGTGTGTGTGTGTGTGTGTGTGTGTGTGTGTGTGTGTGTGTGTGTGCGTGTCTGTGTGTGCGTGTGTGTGCGTGCGCGTGTGTATACACACATATTGTAAATGTACACACCCACAAGTATTTAATCCAATATTTTTGTTATTATCTTCAGTATGCGCGAATCGTTTGACATGCACATTAACAAGGAAATCTAAAAGATTTTCATTTGTTGTGTGCTATTAATATTGTGACCGCCGCTTGTTTTGAAATACATATTTTAGTTTGCCACTTCTAATAACACCGATAATCCACTTGTCACTTCCATTATCAAAAGGAATTTCTGGGCAGTGATGTCAAGTGGCAGGTCCAGATAAGCTGACGGGGAGAAGATTCACACCATAATATTAACACAAAAGTTAAAAAAAAAAATAAGAATATGGTTTCTTGCTGCTATGCCTCTCTTGAAGTACTTGTGAATAAAAGCATTGTTCGTCTTACAATATAGCGGAAAATGTGTATATTTTGAAAAGCTTTAAGTGCCCACGTGTTCCCTGTGCCAATTTCGAAGACTAGGTATTCAAACGATACTAAATTCCTTTTTTTAGTGTTGAAACTCCATGACAGCCAGCAAAATATCAGCTGCTGAATGCCGGACAGGGAAAGGGTTAAAAGCGTTACGTTGGACGAGATGAGTGAAGTTTCATCTATTCCAAAAATGGTCATCGGAAACGAGAACTCGGACGAGCAGAAGCGAGCAATGGCGTAAGGCTTACCGACGCAGCAAACTTTCTTTCCACCGCAGTCAATCGTCGTGATGGTGTCCTTGTTCTTGCATTTCTTTCCCCCGACACATTTCCCTTCGTTACTTTTACACTCCTCCTTCCCGTCCATCCTTGAACCTCTTTTCTCTCCTGTGATGGCTGATGAGTCGAGGGATTTCGTGATAGTAATCATTTGAGATTTGTTCAGTCCTCAGATATATAATTCTTAAATATGTTTTGAAGGTATCATGGATAAAATGATTCATATAAGAATAATAAGATTAATGAAAACATCTGACTGGAACGATAGAGGATTGACGCTTACCCTTACGACAGCACACTTTATTCTGCCCGCTGCATCCAATATTCTTGATTACATCCTTTTCTTCACATTTCTTTTCTTTCACGCAACTTCCATTCTTGTCTTCGCATTCAGCATTTCCGTTTTTCTTTGACGTTCTTCCACCTAATTGGAAGATATCACTGATCTTAATTCACCGCTCAGTGTGGACATGACGTCATCACGGGCAAAATTGGAACCTTTGACATATTTCTTTAAACATTTTGATAGATAAAAAGTGACAAAAGCAACCAAAATCAATAAGAATCTGACACTTACCTTTGAGACAACACACTCTATTCTGCCCGCTACATTTAACGTTCTTGAGGACGTCTTTTTCTCCGCATTTCTGTTCTCCCACGCATTTCCATTACTGTTTCTACATTCATCTTTTCCGTTTTTCTTTGATGATCTTCCACCTAATTTCGGGGCATTAGTAATCATAAAAATGGTTTGATAATTGATACCTTACTTTCTACCTAACTGGAAGATCTCATTGATCGTTATTTCTGAATGAATTCTTGCTACTTTAATTCATCGCTCAGTGTGGACATAAGGTATCATGGGCCAAAAAATTCAGATAGATGAGAAGTGACAAAACCAATAAGAGTCTGACACTTACCTTTGCGACAGCACACTTCATTTTGCCTGCTACATTTAACGTTAAGCACGTCTTTTTCTCCGCATTTCTGTTCTCCCACGCATCTTCCATTACTGTTTCTACATTCATCTTTTCCGTTTTTCTTTGATGATCTTCCACCTACTTGGAAGATATCACTGATATTAGACATTATTTCTAAATGAATTCTTGCTACTTTAATTTACTGCTTAGTGTGGATATGTCCTAAGGGGGGCCGTCCTGTTGAATTTTCGACGAATAATTTTAAGCTAGTAGGCTGTGGCAATCTCGTGATGTAATATTTTTGCTAAATATGTACATATTAAAAGAGTTATGACTAAATCTTTGACCCCCCCCCCCCAGATCTGCAGATTTTACTTTATCGTTTCCGTGTAAATATACTCAACCCTTTTTTTATTTATTTATTCTTTGGCAGCTAGCAGGCAATTCTGCTTACAGCACAGCCGACAGCCACGACAAACAGACAAGGCTCGCAGTCATCATGAGAGAGCCTGAGTGTGAGGTTGCGTGTCGTTCTATGCCTCGGCGCAACACCCTAATGCACCCTCATCACACAGTAATTGGCCAGTACTAATGATAAATGTTATTCCTGTAACTAATAAACATAATATGATGAGAAATATATCTCAATCACAGTTGCAGTAGTTATTTATTCGTTGAAATGCCTCGCGAACCACTGGGAAGCCTATAGTGACATGCAGTACTTCTACAATCGTGTGCACTCATTGCCATTAGTACCTTCCAAAAGAGGGGTTGCCAGGTACCAGTTACACTAGAATACGTGTGAATGCCACAGAATGCATCAAGACTGACGCAGAAATCAGATTTCTAATGAAAAACAAAAAGAATATGGAGAAAAAAGTAACCTCAACTTCAAAGCCTGACATCTCAAAACTACACCATTGTCAACATTTTCTTATATATCTCCATAACTACTTGGGCGATTCTAATGGGGTTTGGATCATTTGAAAGCTGAATAAATTTGCTATTTTTTGTACCTGGGGATTTTCATTTCAGATGATAAAAGTCTATATATTATGTTTTATATTCAAAACAATGAGCATTTAAATATATATATATATATATATATATATATATATATATATATATATTCCCACTAATCTAAGAGGAAATTTCAAAATCCGTAGGCACAAGATTTAGGTATTGCTATAGAGATTATGTGGGTTTTTTTTTTAAAGTTCGGTCATGGATAAGTGAGATATATCAATGTTTTGATTTTCAAAATCTAGTTTTTTAAAATAATTTCATTGTTTATTATCCAAATGAAATGAAACTTGGTAGTGTAATTTTTAGTATGTGTATATATAACATACTAAAAAAAATCTGATTATAATTAACAAATTTCATTCTCGAACAGGATGGACCCCCTAAGGTATCGCAGGGAAAATTGGAACATTTGACATATCTCCTTTTCTAAACGTTCTGATAGATATAAAGTGACAAAATCAACCAAAACCAATAAGAGTCTGACACTCACCTTTGCGACAGCACACTTCATTCTGCCTGCTACATTTAACGTTAAGGACATCTTTCTCTCCGCATTTCTGTTCTCCCACGCATCTTCCATTACTGTTTCTACATTCATCTTTTCCGTTTTTCTTTGATGATCTTCCACCTACTTGGAAGATATCACTGATATTAGACATTATTTCTAAATGAATTCTTGCTACTTTAATTTACTGCTTAGTGTGGATATGTCCTAAGGGGGCCGTCCTGTTGAATTTTCGACGAATAATTTTAAGCTAGTAGGCTTTGGCAATCTCGTGATGTAATATTTTTGCTAAATATGTAAATATTAAAAGAGTTATGACTAAATCTTTGACCCCCCCCCCAGATCTGGCTCAGATGTTTACTTTATCGTTTCCGTGCAAATATACTCAACCCTTTTTTTTTTATTTAATTTATTCTTTGGCAGCTAGCAGGCAATTCTGCTTACAGCACAGCCGACAGCCACGACAAACAGACAAGGCTGGCAGTCATCACGAGAGCCGGAGTGGGAGGTTGCGTGTCGTTCTATGCCTCGGCGCAACACCCTAATGCACCCTCATCACACAGTAATTGGCCAGTACTAATGATAAATGTTATTCCTGTAACTAATAAACATAATATGATGAGAAATATATCTCAATCACAGTTGCAGTAGTTATTTATTCGTTTGAAATGCCTCGCGAACCACTGGGAAGCCTATAGTGACATGCAGTACTTCTACAATCGTGTGCACTCATTGCCATTAGTACCTTCCAAAAGAGGGGTTGCCAGGTACCAGTTACACTAGAATATGTGTGAATGCCACAGAATGCATCAAGACTGACGCAGAAATCAGATGTTTAATGAAAAACAAAAAGAATATGGAGAAAAAAGTAACCTCAACTTCAAAGCCTGACATCTCAAAACTACACCATTGTCAACATTTTCTTATATATCTCCATAACTACTTGGGCGATTCTAATGGGGTTTGGATCATTTGAAAGCTGAATATATTTGCTATTTTTTGTACCTGGGGATTTTCATTTCAGATGATAAAAGTCTATATATTATGTTTTATATTCAAAACAATGAGCATTTAAATATATATATTTTCCCACTAATCTAAGAGGAAATTTCAAAATCCGTAGGCACAAGATTTACGTATTGCTATAGAGATTATGTGGGATTTTTTTTTTTTAAGTTCGGTCAATGGATAAGTGAGATATATCAATGTTTTGATTTTCAAAATCTAGTTTTTTAAAATAATTTCATTGTTTATTATCCGAATGAAATGAAACTTGGTAGTGTAAATTGTAGTATGTGTATATATAACATACTAAAAAAATCTGATCATAATTAACAAATTTCATTCTCGAACAGGATGGACCCCCTAAGGTATCGCAGGAAAAATTGGAACATTTGACATATCTCCTTTTCTAAACGTTCTGATAGATATAAAGTGACAAAATCAACCAAAACCAATGAGTCTGACACTTACCTTTGAGACAACACACTCTATTCTGCCCGCTACATTTAACGTTATCTTTTTCTCCGCAACGCATCTTCCATTACTGTTTCTACATTCATCTTTTCCGATGATCTGACACACACCTTCTCATTGGAATGGACATCTTCTCTAAGAGTCTGACACTTACCTTTGCGACAGCACGCCTGCTACATTTAACGTTAAGGACGTCTTTATCTCCGCATTTCTGTTCTCCCACGCATCTTCCATTACTGTTTCTACATTCATCTTTTCCGTTTTTCTTTGATGATCTTCCACCTACTTGGAAGATATCACTGATATTAGACATTATTTCTAAATGAATTCTTGCTACTTTAATTTACTGCTTAGTGTGGATATGTCCTAAGGGGGGCCGTCCTGTTGAATTTTCGACGAATAATTTTAAGCTAGTAGGCTGTGGCAATCTCGTGATGTAATATTTTTGCTAAATATGTAAATATTGAAAGAGATATGACTAAATCTTTGACCCCCCCCCCCCAGATCTGGCTCAGATGTTTACTTTATCGTTTCCGTGCAAATAGACTCAACCCTTTTTTTTATTTAATTTATTCTTTGGCAGCTAGCAGGCAATTCTGCTTACAGCACAGCCGACAGCCATGACAAAGAGACAAGGCTGGCAGTCATCACGAGAGAGCCGGAGTGGGAGGTTGCGTGTCGTTCTATGCCTCGGCGCAACACCCTAATGCACCCTCATCACACAGTAATTGGCCAGTACTAATGATAAATGTTATTCCTGTAACTAATAAAATGATGAGAAATATATCTCAATCACAGTTGCAGTAGTTATTTATTCGTTTGAAATGCCTCGCGAACCACTGGGAAGCCTATAGTGACATGCAGTACTTCTACAATCGTGTGCACTCATTGCCATTAGTACCTTCCAAAAGAGGGGTTGCCAGGTACCAGTTACACTAGAATACGTGTGAATGCCACAGAATGCATCAAGACTGACGCAGAAATCAGATTTCTAATGAAAAACAAAAAGAATATGGAGAAAAAAGTAACCTCAACTTCAAAGCCTGACATCTCAAAACTACACCATTGTCAACATTTTCTTATATATCTCCATAACTACT